GGTGTAAGATCATATTTCATGAAACTTTTCAATTGCTGTTCTCAAACTACTTATGATTCTGAGCATCTTTTATATGTTTATTGGTCTTTTATACCTCTTTTTTGCAGTAAGGTCCACTCAAGTCCTTGGCTCAATTTTCAGTTACGCTGTTTGTATTTCATTGTTGGGTTGTAGTAGTTTTTAACACATTCTGGACATTAAACACTTATCATCTACATGATTTTTGAATATGTCTTCCCATTCAGTAAGCTGTTTCTTCACTTTCTTGATAATGCCTTCTGATGCATATAATTTTTTAAATTTTGATGGTGTCCATCAAAATTATTTTTCTTTTGTTTGTTATGCTTCTGGTGTCCTATCTAAAAAATCCACCGCCAAATTTAAAGTCATGAAGATTTACCTGTATCTTTTCTTTTTAAGACGTCTATGGTTTTTGCATACATATTTAGGTTATTGATTCATTTTGAGTTTACTTTTGTAAAAAGTGTGATGTAGGTTTCAAACTACATTCTTTTCCATGTGGAGCTCATGTTATCTCAGTATCATCTGTTGAAGAGAACATTCTTTCCCCATAGACTTGGCCTTCTTGTCAAAAATCAGTTGACCATTTACTATGGGTTTATTCCATGACTTAACAATTCTATTGCATTGAGCTATATGTCTAACATTATCCCAATACCGTAATGTTTTGAGTACTGTAACTTTGTAGTAAGTTTGAAACTGGGAAGTATGATTCCTTCAACTTTGCTCTTTTTCAATACTGTGTTAGCTTGGTGCTACAGTGCCATTTCATATCCATTTGAAAATTTGCTTTTCCATTTTTGCAAAAAATGTTAGTGGCATTTTGATAGGGATTGCACTGAGTCCGTCAATAGCTAAGGGTACAACTGACATCTTAACAATATTTGTTCTTCCTATTCATAAATATGGAATGTCTTCTGTCAATTTCTTTTTTTTCTTGAGAGGTTTTTGCTATAGGGTGTGTGCGCTTGCCAGAAAGACAGAGAGAGACAGAGGGACAGAAAGCGAGAAATAATCCCCTTGGGGGGGATGGCCATGTCACAATCCCTTCTACTTCTTACCTCTCTCAGGATCTTGGGCATTCACAAACACGCGCCCAGCTTGAGTTTAAGCCACTGGGTCCAGGTCTCGAACCACGGTCGACAGCATGGGAGTCTGGCAACTTAGCTACTATGCCAACTGCTGGTCCCCAATTTCTTTTGATCTAATCAAAAGTGGGCTCAGAAAACTAGTTAAAAGATTCCAATGACTGGCTCTTGTCTCCTGAACTGACATGACTTGTTTCTCTACAATATTATAAAAATAAAGACTAATCTTGGAATAATTTGCAGGGTCAATGAGATCTCACATAACAGGTTTAAAAAATATCAGAACAGCTATTTAAGTAGTAAGTGCTACTGTTAAAAACTTAGGTAAGATAAGTAGATATGGTTTTATGATCATAATTTATACTACCATCACAAAATTAATAAAACACATGAAAACACAATAAAACCATATAGTCTTATATACAGAAACACTCATACAGCAAAAGATTTAGTATGCTTTATTTACATAATTAAAATTATATCACATTAGGATATATTTGCCTATAACTAAAATATTTTTTAAAAATAGCAATAATTCTATTTTATTTATTTATTATACTTAATTCTCATAAGAATCCAATGTCCCATACACCAAATCTCACTCCAAACGTCACACACAAACTTTACTGAGAGGTGTAGAAAGTAGTTGTATCTTGGAATTTTCTACCTTGGATGATGGAGAAATCAATGTAGTATTATTATAGGAAGTGGCTCTGTGTGCTGCAGTGGGAACCAACTTTTTATGCTAATGGACTTCTCTCAGTTAAAAAAAAAAAGTCTAGAATACACACTCCACAGATACATGCATTTAAAAGTTATATATATCAGGACCAGCAGTTGATGTAATGGCTATGGTGCTGGACTCCCATGTAGTTAACTACAGTTCAAGTCTTGGACCCAGTGGCTTAAACTCACACCGAGAATGTGTGTGTGCATGCCCAAGATCCCAAGAGGAGAATGGAGGAGAAGGTATTGTGGCATGGCCATCCCCCCTGGGGGGTGATTTCTCGCTTTCTGTCTCTCTGTCTCTCTGTCGAGTGCATGCACCCTATAGCAAAAACCTCTCAAACAACAAGAAAAAAGATATATATATATCAACTACTCTCTACTTCTTAAATAGATTATTAAAGTTAATATTTTATTTTCCTATTTCACATTTAAGTCCCTCATAAAGGTGAATATAATACATTTTTCAACAAAGAAGTTTACATTTTTTTGTCTTTTTTTTAAGAGAGATTTATTTATTTGCTATAAGGCACGTACCCTCACTAGAGAGAGAGAAAAAGTGAGAAATCACCTTCCAGCAGGGATGGCTACACCACAATCTTTTCTCCATTCTTCTCTCAGGATTTTGAATATGCATGCACATGTGTCCAGCATGAATTTCATGCCTCCGGGTCCAGGACTCAAACTGCAGTCTGCCATGTGGGAGTCCAGGACCTTAGCCACTTGGTGGCCGCACAATTTTTGTCTTTGTCTTTGAATAATTTTTGTCTATTACTTGTCTGACTATTATTAAGGTTAAATTCTTTAGACAATAGAAAAATAAGTACTAATGTTTTCTTCTTATAACTCAATTGTTTATCTTATACACTACAATGAAGACCAGTGCTTTACAGAATTATAAGAAAAAAAGAAAGATAAGAGGAAAAGGACTGTTCTCATTATACATCTTAAGTCTGCTGCTGCTTCTTAACATTAAGAGACTGAGTCGACCCTGTAGCACAACATTTAAGCACTATACATAGAAAATTAGATCTCACATGGCTAACCAGGGTTCAAGTCTTGGCTCTGGCAGCTTGAAAAACATGCCAGGCACATGAGCATGCAAGCCTAATATTCTGATGGAATGGAGAAATGGAAGAGAAAGGACTGCAGTGTGGTCACGCCCCACTGGGGAGGGATGTGTGCTGTGCTCGCTCACTCTCTTGTGCTCTCTCACTCTCTTACGCAAATGCACATGACGCCTGGAAAGAAAGTATTGTAAAAAAACAACATTAAGAGACTTTGAACTGCTGTCTGTTTCTTTCATGGTACTCTCTTAGGTAACATTGCTTTGATGTTATCAGTAATAAAAATTTTTCTCTTGGGCCATCATGTGGCATGGTGGTTAAGGTGCTGGACTTCCCACATGGCTGACCATGGTTCAAGTCCTGGCACCTGGACCTGATGGCTCGTTTTCTCACTTTCCTTTTTTTTCTCTCTCTTTTTCTGTCTCTCTCTGTCTCTGTCTCTTCTGGTGAGCACACATACTTTATAGAAAATTAAAAGTAATGATAGTAACCATAATAAATTAAATAAATAAATAAAGAATATTTTTCTCTACTTAATCCATTTTACAAGAGTTTTCCAAGTGTTACTTGCTCCCAAGGGCAAAGATAGGTCAAGTATGTGAAGTTGGCAAAAAGTAAAAAATTCCAAAGGTAAGTAGTTTCAGAGACTGGCGAAGTAGAATCTGTGCTATTGGAAGTTAGGGGGCTAAACATGCCCAGAGAGGACTAGAGATATAACAGACACCTTAATATTAGGTTATCAGGAAAGTCATGATGCATTTTTGCATAGAAAAACAGAAAAATACATCATGACTTTTCCAGTCACCCAATAGTTCTGGTGTAGTCTCATAAGATTTCTCTTGCAGAAAATCATCAGAAAATTTATTTCCTTCTCTTACCAAGTAAGTGGCAGGTTATCATCCCTTCCAACAGGAATAAAATGACAGAAAAGTATTGTTACCTAGGTGAAGAAATTAGAAAAAGCCTATAGCTAAATGATGTTATCTCCCAATTGTAGCACTGCCTGCTTCTTTCATTTATAATACTGATAATGAAAGTGCTGTTGCTTCTGTTTTTACTCTGTTGTTTCAAAGGTAGCAATATCCCCACCTACCTTATAATTTGTTTGAATACATTTTAGGTCAAACTGCATTTTTTTTTTGGAGAGATTTTCGCTGTAGGGAGCGTGCACTCGCCAGACAGACAGAGAGAGACATAGAGACAGAAAGCGAGAAATCACCCCCCAGGGGGGATGGTCACGCC